GACACATTTGTTGTCTTGTTATTTGTTGAGGCTCTTGTTGCCTCTGCCACAACCGCAATGCTACAACGACGTTACACATATATGTACATAAATATATGTATACATACTTATATGCAAGAAAGTGATATTGCAATTGCGGTTACTTACTACAAATGGCACTCGCATGCCTTCGCAACGACCGCAACAACAGCATCGGCAATACAACAAAAAAAAAACGTTTTAGTTCAACGCAGTTCAGTTGTATAGTGCAATTCAACTGTAACGCTGTTGGGTTGGGTCGCGACGACCCGTCAAGTTTTACCGCTCTATTTGCATAGTTGTGCGTCTTTACTTTCCACACCCATTCGTTCATTTGCAACTTGGTGGTAGTAGATACTCGGTATATGGGTCAAAATAAAAATGTCAAATTCAGACACTCACTCATCTACTCCACACACACACACACTCATAGTGATCCATGTAGTCATTCAATCAAATTGTGCCGGCACTGCCCTGTCAACAAAGGTCAAATGCAGCTTTACTAGATTATTTTCACCTCTTACAGCAGCGTGTGCATTTTGCGAAGCCTCTCCAGCATATATCCCAGCACCCAATTCGACCACAAAGTCAACAACCATCCGCATCATAGCTTGCCACCAATCGCTTTAGTCCCCCGTTGGTGACCCAAATAACTACATAAAATTTTTTTTTTTGTATTTCAACGCCAACGCAAACGTTTGTGGCCGCTGTGCGCCTTTAAATATGCTACGAAAGTAAACCGCAAAAGTTGAAATTGCCAGTAGAAACAAGAGCTTTGTGTGTTGGGCGTTTTCATTTATCGAAGCTACGCCAGTAAAACGATGAAAGTAAAACCGAGAAATGGTATTAAAAACAAGTGAAAAAGAACCACCACAACAACAACAACAACGACAAGAAATATGACACAAAAAGCGACGCCATAGTTACAAAGCAGTTTCCATTTGTCGTCTACTTTAAGTTACTTTGTTGGTTAACTTTAATAACTTTTCAGAGGATTTACAAAAGGTAACTAATCGAAAGCGTAAGCTTAAAGCGACGAAAAGTTAAATTGAATGGAAAATTTGTTGCGGTGGAACTATAATTTTGGGACTTGTGCGACATAGCAGCGACCAAAGTTTGAATGGAGGTAGCTAAATATTATTTGCTGCGACTGCGGTAATGGAAATTTACTACAAATGTTTTACTTTAGACTTTAATTGCTTAGAATGTGTTTCACATTCAAGGAGATTCAAGGCGTTAGATTAATTCAGATTTATGTATATATGCAGCTGCGGCTGTGGTAAAGCAATTCCTCGTTGAAGTTTGGCACTGCGTGTGAAAACATTTAGGACTGTGGAGTGCGTAGTTCAGTGTTGAGAACCAATGAGTCTCTAAGGCAATCTGCATACACTTCTGGTGCACTTATTTCCTCCGCATACATTGCTATGCATTCTTTGTCATTTTTTGTTTCAAAGTAGTTACGGAATGTTAGCTAGTTGATAGCTTTTGAATAAATCTGGATGTTGAAACCGTTATGGAAAATCTATCTATCTATCTTTAAAAATTACAATAATAGTTTGGCCAGCTCGCCGTGTTTTGTGAATCGATCTTGGGATATTGATTTATTTTTTGCCGTTTTCTTCCAGCATCGATTATTTTTATTTCGATCTTAATCGATTCAAAGACCGATTTGTTTTATTTCGATCTGGCATATCTACTATTCACTGGTTTTTAAATTACTTGCCAGTGATTAACACTTTGAGAGTGGATATAGCTTCTCAGCTGTATCGGCCTGCTTTTGGTACTTGGCAAAGTGCAGGAGCGGGTCACGATTGAGTGACTTCAGCAGATAGAGCGGAGTTGCATGTCGGATAGGCGGTATGGTTTTAGAAAAGAACGTAGCTTGATAACTTTTTTTTTAAAAAAAACGCATAAAATTTGCAAAATCTCATCGGTTCTTTATTTGAAACGTTAGATTGGTCCATGACATTTACTTTTTGAAGATAATTTCATTTAAATGTTGACCGCGGCTGCGTCTTAGGTGGTCCATTCGGAAAGTCCAATTTTGGGCAACTTTTTCGAGCATTTCGGCCGGAATAGCCCGAATTTCTTCGGAAATGTTGTCTTCCAAAGCTGGAATAGTTGCTGGCTTATTTCTGTAGACTTTAGACTTGACGTAGCCCCACAAAAAAATAGTCTAAAGGCGTCAAATCGCATGATCTTGGTGGCCAACTTACCGGTCCATTTCTTGAGATGAATTGTTCTCCGAAGTTTTCCCTCAAAATGGCCATAGAATCGCGAGCTGTGTGGCATGTAGCGCCATCTTGTTGAAACCACATGTCAACCAAGTTCAGTTCTTCCATTTTTGGCAACAAAAAGTTTGTTAGCATCGAACGATAGCGATCGCCATTCACCGTAACGTTGCGTCCAACAGCATCTTTGAAAAAATACGGTCCAATGATTCCACCAGCGTACAAACCACGCCAAACAGTGCATTTTTCGGGATGCATGGGCAGTTCTTGAACGGCTTCTGGTTGCTCTTCACTCCAAATGTGGCAATTTTGCTTATTTACGAAGCCATTCAACCAGAAATGAGCCTCATCGCTGAACAAAATTTGTCGATAAAAAAGCGGATTTTCTGCCAACTTTTCTAGGGCCCATTCACTGAAAATTCGACGTTGTGGCAGATCGTTCGGCTTCAGTTCTTGCACGAGCTGTATTTTATACGGTTTTACACCAAGATCTTTGCGTAAAATCTTCCATGTGGTCGAATAACACAAACCCAATTGCTGCGAACGGCGACGAATCGACATTTCACGGTCTTCAGCAACACTCTCAGAAACAGACGCAATATTCTCTTCTGTACGCACTGTACGCATTCGTGTGGTTGGTTTAATGTCCAATAAAGTAAACTGAGTGCGAAACTTGGTCACAATCGCATTAATTGTTTGCTCACTTGGTCGATTATGTAGACCATAAATCGGACGTAAAGCGCGAAACACATTTCGAACCGAACACTGATTTTGGTAATAAAATTCAATGATTTGCAAGCGTTGCTCGTTAGTAAGTCTATTCATGATGAAATTTCAAAGCATACTGAGCATCTTTCTCTTTGACACCATGTCTGAAATCCCACGTGATCTGTCAAATACTAATGCATGAAAATCCTAACCTCAAAAAAATCACCCGTTATAAGGAATACATGGTTGAATGTTCATAGTGCGGTACGGGGGAGTTCCAGAAAATATGTCCTTGACATATTTGTTGACTTTAGGGCGCTTTTGATTACCTACGTTAGGATAGGGTAGTTAAGCGCCTGAACCAGCTTGGATGCACGGATACAGATCTCTGGAGGAGCTATTTTCCGACCGATGAGCCATCTTGATTGGTGTGGCAGAGACCGTCGAGGTTTGGGTGGTTCGCGACTATCCGAAGAGGCCTGTGGTCCATTTATTTTGAACCTTTTAATGGATTCCCTTCTTCGGCAGCTGGTGCCGCACTGTAACTTCAGTGCGAATGCCGTCGACTTTCTCGCCTTTGCGGAGAGCCAGTTTTGAGCTGAAGTTGATCGCAAGAAGGAACAGCTATTTGATATTGTCAATAGCTGGAGCCGACGTATAAGAGTTGACATTTCGGTGGACAAAACGGTGTTTATGCCGCTCAACGGGTTAACGGAGTCAATCTTATGTATGTTGGACAGGTACTCCGCATCCTCATATGTGACTGAGGCCTTGGCCGACGTGCTGTTCGTACCATTTATCGTAGCCTATACGTGGCCTATGTTACTTTCGGGTCCAATATTTTGTACGAGACATCTATGTCGGTTGTGGGCCGCCAGGTCATGCACTGATTAGACGGACGCACTGCAGGTAATGATGGGACGCGCCTTCTTGACTTTGGGGTCATAGTGCGGGCTATGAACTTCAGGTTAAGAAAGGGCATAGGCATTCCGCCATTTACGGGGTATATCGCGGACGGTGACACGCAAAGGGGCTTAACTGAATGAAAACAGTTGCTGGGGGACAAAGTCCCCGTTGTGCTAATGGGAGATAATCCGGACTTCGGGCTTTATCTGAGAATTTGCGCGTGACGGTTTTAGGAGGCAAAGGCGTGCAGATTAAGCAGTGCGTCAATGGTCACCAATCCATAGTAGTATGGTAATTCAACAGGTGGTGGCTTTGACTGGAGACTTAAATTTGGTACCACGGTGAGCAGAAACCGTTTAAGCGTGGTCCAACCTAATCATGCGGCACGGTCCTTCTGGGAGCATCGTGGTGGGTTTGGTTTAGCACCCATATGTGGCGTTGCATTGCCACTAGGTGCCGGACCCAAAGTAGGCGTCGAACCCTACCAAAGTGGTTAGTGTGTCCATTCCGCACTGCCGATTAAATAGTACGCAATGCTTGCATTTTCGGGATTCAGATCAACGATCTGCTGTGCGTTTGACACCCAAGTTAAACATCTACAGACGTTATCTGAATAGTGAAATCCCTACAAATCAACCCCTTTACGCGAAATTTTCGTGTGTGCCATTTGTTCGAAATTGACTTTTTGATGCAAATTTGTTTTACAAGTCGAAAACGTTGTCGTGTTAAATTTGCTGTCCGGCAGAGTATATACGTAAGTAACTTAATTATGTCAATACCTGCAGTTGTGAAACACCTATACCTATACGAAAAAAATTTACATAATTTTTCATAAAAAGCTTTTAATAAACTCTTAAAAATGTTACAAAAGTAATAAGAGCATTTAGTTCATATCACAAACATACTTCCAACACATAAATATTTCATTAAAAAAATGCAACATTGTTTTTACTTTTGCACATCATTTGCACAATTAGCTTGAGCGCTACACAAAATTAATATTAAAAAATATATAATTAAATATTGTCTGTAAACTCTATTTGCAAATATTTCATTCCGTATTTCTTTTTTATTTTTTTTACAGATTGCATTTAACTAAAGTACATATTTATTATTATACTCGCATACAAACATAGCGGCGTGGAGTCAAATATGCATGTTGGCAATTGTGGTCATGACGGCGTATGCAAACAGACAACAAATAAAAGCTACAACAGCAGCAAAAAAACCACTCATTGCAACAAAATTCATGCTAAAAGCTATAATAGTTAATAGTAATAACGAAAATAAAAACCAACCACTTGATAAGTGCAACTGTGCCGATACTTGATTGGTAACAGCAGCGACAACGGCAGCAGCAGCAGCAGCAAAGTGGCAATAAAAACGTTTAACCAATCAAATTAACAATCATTAAAATATTCATACAGCCGTGAATAGTGAAATACATACTTAACGCACAACGAACGGTTCAATGTGTAGTTGAAGAGAGACCACTAATAAAATAGTTACATAGCTTACCTATACTCAAAAGCAGCTAGAAAAAAGGGTAAGTGTGGGAAAGTGTTTATTAAAAAAAAACTATTTATTATGAAAATGCAAAAAAAAAACTGTATCTATCAGAGGAAAATCATAAAACGTTTACTTTTTTGTTATTTCATAATAACGTTGAATATGTTGCTATGTAATAGCTGCAGTTTTTTTCATCCTTGGTTGCTCTATGAATTATTGATTGGTCTTAAAAGCTATTAATAGTAGAATGCGGTCGCGCATTTTTAAGGCAATTATTGTAATGAAAGGGCGCGAAAGTTGCTTTAGGTGTAAAAAAAAAACAAGTTTTACGTAAATGTTTAACCCATTAACGACGAAGGGGTATTTAAATACCCCCAAAACACAGTTCATCCAAATCGCAATATCTCGGAGACCGTAACAGCTATGAGACTGATTTATTTTTTGCAAGGTTACGAAATTCTGGTGTAAGTTACTGTTTCTATAAAATGTTACGGAATTCCGAATGGTTTTTGCCGTTTTTTTAATCAAATGTGGTAAATTGAAAAAAAATAAAAAAAATATATTTGCCAATTCGTATAAAATTTAAAAGTTAGTAGAACAAGGTCAAAATACATGATCAGTTTGCCTATAGTATTCTCTAAACACAGCAGGAACCAAAAACTTGATCACGCAAATGCACTGGGAATCTGGCTCCTATGTCTTGGAGGGGGTATTTAAATACCCATCCGGCGAAAAGAGTATAAAATATTAGATTATATTGACTTTAACATAACTTTCTTAGAAGGAAAAAAATGAAGGTCCTTCTGTATTTTTTATTAAAGAAAAGGAAATAAGTAATGCAAAATATATTATTTATTATGAAATATTTATTAGTGAGATCTTTTTATCTTTTTTGCATCGGGTTCAACTGCATTGTGATAGTCAGAAAAACATTTTTTTGGATGAAGCAATGCGTTACACTTTTTACATCCAAATTGAGTTTTTATGCCGCATTGACGACAGCGGGCGCGCCGATCCAATGTTTCTACAATGTGATTCAAACCGTCTGTCCTTTGGCCTCCATCTCGGTTGGTTATTCGTCGTTTACAAGTACGTACATCAGTTACCAAAGCTTCAGCAACTTCCACACGGAAATCGAATTGATTCATCGGCTTGAACTTTTCATATTTTGCACAAAACACTTTCAGTTTCCAGGCATTAACCATAGCTGCATCAAAAGCATTCGTTAGCAATGGCCAATACCACTTCTTTCCACGAATTTTAATGCGATAATTGTTCATAGCATTGTCGAACAAGTCTACGCCACCCATGCGATGATTGTACTCGTGAATGAGCAACGGCTGGGGAACAGTAATCATTTTCTTGCCTTTGCGATCATATCTCTTAACATGGCGTAGTGGCTCATGTTTAAGAAAGTTTGACATAATAGTTACAACCTGTTATATATTCATCACAAAACAAAAGAATATTATACAACAGAAAAAGTTAAAAAAAAAAATTATTGTATAAAGAAATTACCGAATTGTCATTCCAGCGTGTAACTAGTACTTTGTTATTGCTATCAAATACGAAATCAGAGCTTCCTCTCGATCTTTTCTTCATATCATTAATGCACACCAAAGGAGCATAATTAGTTCGATTATCACGCACAGTGCCCGTTGCGAAGTACCCATTACAGCTCAAGCGACGCATCAGCTTATAACTCGTAAAAAAGTTATCAAACGTCACATTGTGGTTCTCGGGACGTTCGAGATGGGACAATAATTGGAGAACAACGTTTTCTCCAAGGCTATAATCATTACTGAATTTTGTAGCTGCACCTGCATACAGTATGAACTGGTAACAGTAGCCATCGTCCGATGTCAAACACCAGTATTTGTACCCAAATCGGATTGGCTTGCTTTTTATAAACATTTTACACGAATGACGTCCATAATAAGCGATCATCTGCTCATCTATGCTTAAATTGTGGGAGAATACGCCGAACTGCATGAACTTTTTATTCAAAGTATCATTCAGCGGCGATACTTTAGCAAATTTGTCACTCGGCCGAAGGTTTTGGTTATCACAAACGTGTATATATTTCTTGATTTGTTTAAATCTGTCTCGGCTCATAGATCTCTTTATATATTCACAACCTAGAGATTCCCTATTAGACCAATATGCTGGTATGTTAGGCAAGGTATGATAGCAGTAATGTACAAAATGCCAAGGAAACTCTTTACTTCGTCCATTGTTGTGACAAATTCAGGATCATTATTTTGTGCAGCATACTCATTTGTGCTATCTGCAACAAGCATAAGTACCTCATCATCTATGAAGCAATTCCACAACTGAAGTGGAGACATTGATCCTGAATGCACTCAATAAGTAATAAGTTTAAGAAAAAACGCGAGGCTACTTACCAATCTTCTCATATAGCTCCTTATGTGAGCTTGCAGTATTATCAAAAGGTTCCTTGCCAAACTCGTAGTTTTGCCGGTGGCTCCACTTTGGGTTTTGTGATTCAATCACTTTGCGAGTTTCTTGTGCCGCTTTCGATGTGGATGGCTGCAAATTGAGACCGTCGTCTGCGATTTTCACCAAGTTTTTATTGCCGTCGTTATATATATATTCCACTTCAAAACTGCCGGCTACTTCTTGAGGAAACCTTTCGACATCTGTGGTAATTTGAATATTGTCATCTAGTTCTTCCGTATCACTGACAGCATCCACTTTTTCAGGTGGCGCAATAATGATATTTATTTCATCTGCATATCCACCGGATTCATCTTCGTCACTCCAACTATCTACTTCTGCCTGTAGTTCCAAAGCGGTTAAAAACTTTTTTCTTATCATTTTTACTGATCAACACAAAATTTTGGTATTCACTTATATGCACAAAAGTTATTTTTCAATGCTGTTTTGATAATACTTTCATTACACAACCTATATCAGCTGTTTGCATTGGCAAAAGTGTGCTGCCATACTACGCATTTTATATATGGTCAGAACTCAGATCTGACGGATGGGTATTTAAATACCCCCCGAAAATCACGATTATGGTAAAAGTTATATGCCTGAAATTTAGCAAGACAACTTCTATGACTTATATAAGCACTCTGATAAAATTTTAATAAAATCACACGACGGGATCTATGAGCAGGCTTTAATGGGTTAATAGTTTACGCTTTAACATACATACAGATATTTTATGCGTTGAAAGGCTTTGTTGGCTATTGAAAGTATTATGGTTTTGTTTGGCTGCGCCATTTATTAGTTTTCCAAAGATCCTATGGATGTGCATTTTGAGCGTTTTTACTTTTATTTTTCGATACTTTGGATTATCAGTTACTTAGTGTTCGCAAGGCAGAAAAATTGATACCAAAAATTAATTAATTAAAGTTTATCTCACTTCTAAGGCAATCATTTAATTACATTTTGAAGACATGAAGCGGTTCAGGGTTCGTGGCAATTTAAAATTTTTAAGCAACAAGCGAACTGATATCTTGCACTGCACTAGAGTTTATCGAAACAGTCAGAAATTAGTAGGAATGATGTCCGAAATAGATTGCAAGTGTGGCACTACTACTAAACCCTGCCTAAATCGTTGGACTAACGATAGGCTCACGAAACGTGCTGTTGAAACACCGTATTATTTTCAATTTTGGAAAAGAAAAATTAAAACTTTTTTTAGGCTCAAAAATTTTCCTTTTAAAAGTCACTTTAAAAGGTCTGATTGAATAAGAAATTAGCTTGATATTTAAACCAACCATGAAAGGTAACATTTTTGAAACTTTCTTTTTTTTACCATTCCAAAACATGTAATGAACTTTTTAAGACAAAAATTTGCATGCATTTTTCGCAAGAACAACTGACGACGATGATTGCAAAGAGCATTTTCTATGCATCTTTGGCTCTCGCTGGACTAAGGGGGCATATTTTTTTTGGTCAGATATGTTCCAAAATGATCAACAATATTCGCCGGCCTTCTTCAATTTTCTAAGATCCTTTCAGAAATCATAAAGGCTAGAGAGCGAATTTATTTTTTAGTTTTCTGTAATCATACCTGCTGCCTTGGGCCTGAGTTACGAAAAGCCGTCATTTTTTACTTTGATTTTGCCATCCATTTACCCATGCCAAAAGAGTAATCAGCAGACTTTAAACTGGGAAGAAATCTGCCAAAAGAAATCAACTAATGTTTATACCTGACTAATAACTAAACGTCTCAAAAATTTTAAAATGATTTAACTCGATCATTTTAGTCCAGAATTCATTGGATGCTGTCAATTCCTTCTTAGTCCTTTGCTTGAAAAATGTACTTGTAAAACTCAGCTTTAACAAAGAGGGTTGGTCGATCGAAGCTTTACGAACCCATAACAGCAATCCAAATCCTCGGTAACTGAAGGAAGGACGATTGCCTCTTGTAAAAAGGCGTTTTAGTGTGATCAGTTGCCCCGGAAAAAATCAGAATTGAAAATTTTGATAGGCTGCTGATAGGGCATAATACAAAGAACCAATTATGGAGGAACGTTTAGTGAAGAGTGCAAAAAATAGACAGGCAGTATTCTTGAAATACTGGACGAAGACAAAGAAACGTAATTGACCAGTCGGTTCTACCTATAGTTATTACGCTGCGCCATCTTGATCACTGGTTTTCAATTTTTTATTTTTTTTTCTGCTGAAACTAGTGGACTTATATAAAACTTTTGATATTTTTTGCGGAAGTACGAACGTTTTCCTAAAGGAAAGGAAGAATATGCAAATCGGCAACGTTTCTATCTTAGGTGATAGAGTTGTCTTTCGCTCATCCATTTCTTGCGGAGCTAGGCATGAGCACTGTTTATCTTAATAAATAAACTATGCCCAGGCAGCCATACTGCTGCCCTTCTTGGCAGAGACTATACTGTTATTTTCTTCAACTCTACATTTGGCGTTAAAATTAATTTTGTATTTGAATTTATAAGCGATTCAACATCGCCCGAAATGTGCGCTTTCTAGAAAACTTAAACACAATTTACACAGGCGGTTTTGTTGAAAGCGATATTGAGTAGCTTA